ACGATGATGAATTGTCGAGAAGCAGGCGGCGACCCAGAACCTCCGGTCAGTAAAAACGATGTCGTATTACAATGTTGTTGGACGTTTCATAACTAAAACAGTCTGCCGTTTTTATAATGGTTGATCGAACGATGTGTCGTCTAATTATATTACTATCCTCGAAACGGTTTTATATATCCTCAGAGAGGATTAGTTTCAAAACAAGGAGCCAAACACATTCATCATTCATGGTTCGTATCTAAATTTGGGGATTCATGTGAGCAGAGATACTGACGAATCACTGTTCTTCATTAGAATCCGATCATCATCTTCGTTGATTATAGTCGTCGTTGTCTCTTAAACTGGTACGCTTTGATCCTTTTTTTTTGTTTGTTTATGGAAGTGTTTCAGAATCTGGGTCTATCAGATGCTTCGATGTTGACTCGTTGATATAGTCGGATTTGCATCTATAGAGATTCTCTATACATAGAACCGCGATAAAGTTTACTTAGCTTTGTCTTTTTGGTGTTAATCATAGAAAATCCTTTAAGTTCTTCAGATGTATGAAGAAATCAATGTGGTTTTAATCTCCATTGCTTCTCCTTATGCAACTATTGGAGAAAAAAAACTTATTTTGTGATAGCTATAGAGTTCACTTTTTTAGCTTGGTATAGGCTAAGATGATGCATCTATGTTTTTGGTGCCATTTAAATGTTTTTTTTTGCTAAATCATCAATTCGAGGATTGAGAATTTGTACATTTGACAAGCTCATGCTTTTTTTGAGTCTTAATACTTACCCGAGGATCATCGGACGTGTTGTTTAGAGAACAGAGAATCGAATAACAAAAACCCACTTGGACTCGGAAATGGGAGAGACGGAAACAGACTCTGAACATCGTATGATGATCGGCTTTGCAGACCCCATGAAAATTGATCCCGGAAGAGACAGGTTTCCATTTTGCATTGTTTGGACACCTCTTCCCTTCATTTCATGGCTGGTTCCCTTCATCGGCCACGTGGGTATTTGCAGAGAAGACGGTGTCATCCTCGACTTTGCTGGACCGAATTTCGTCTGTGTTGACAATTTCGCATTTGGAGCTGTGGCTCGCTATATCCAAATTAACAAAGAAAAGGTACATTTGCAATTTGCTGGCTTTCATATTTGTTCTTGCTGCAAACTAACTTTGTGAACTTTGTCCACATTGGCCTTGGATATAATCAGGAGTCGTCTATTTCTTCCGGTTCTCGTATGTTTGATGGTGAGAGCAGATACGATGAGCAAGAAGACACTCATGAGAAAGAGCCGACATGGGATGATGCACTTAGAAAAGGCATACAAGAGTACCAACACCATTCATATAACATATTTACATGCAACTGTCATTCCTTTGTAGCCAACAACCTGAACCGTCTAGCAGTAAGGTCAGGTGGGTGGAACGTGGTGAATCTCGCGGCACTTGTGTTCCTCAAAGGACGTTGGGTGACCAAAACCGCGATGGTAAAGTCCTTGTTGCCTACGGTCATAATCTACGCATTAGGAATATTACTAGGTGGCTGGACTTTCATAGTTTCCTGCTCGATTCTAGCGGTTTTGCTTACCGGTTGGTTCATCATGGCAACGTATTGTTTCAAGAACTTGATCCAGCTTTAGATTTGGCTTCATTGATCCAAGGATTCTGGTTAAGAACGTTGTAGAGAATTATGATGTTGAAGAAATGGTGTTTCAATCTGAAGAAGATCGTTGATTTCGCCGGGAACTTTTTTGTCGGAATGAGACAGACCAAAAGACTGTTGTAATAGTATAAAAATTCCTATCATTTCGCTGTTTGCACAGATGATTTTTTTTTTTTCAGTGTGTTAAAACTTAAAAAGGTGTGTAATTGTTACAAACAAAAAGATTTATGAGCAAAGTGGGAATATTTATGATTTGGGGTAAAGAAGGAAAGTAGCATATTTGGTGGGTGTAATAATAGGAAACAAAATCACGCGTGGAAGAAGGGCAAAATTGTCATTTGCGCCAGGATCTATATTTGAAAAGAAGAGCATGATGCCAAGTAATTGAAACAGAATAGATCAAACA